TGGTCGCTCCAAAGGCCGCAATTATGGCCCTAACATCGCGAAATTTTACATGTAGAAGGAGATCGGGCCACAGAATAAGCCTGCTTCTTTTGATAAATTATATATTTACTTTTGAAGGACATAGACCCGAGAAGTTCATAGAATATCCAGGAGGAGTGGTTGACCTTTAAATTGATACCAATTATATTGTTGTATGTACTCGGATGTGGGAGTTACATTTAAATATAGCGCTGATCACTTTGAAAATTTCCACAAAGTTCCAGTTATGCTCAAGGGTAACGTCTATATGATGAAATGGACCGAAAACTTAATTTTCGTGTTTTTTTCCGAGTCGACATGTAGGCCATAATTATAAGCCGAACATCACAACACAAACTACGATGAAGGGAATATGGACAAGTAATTAGAAGGATTGTGTTGAATATTAGTTGACATCTAACTATGCAAGAGGGTGCAAATATCACGAAATATTGTCAAGGCTCGGAACAAACATCCGCAGAAAGTAAGAGTTCCGTGGTAGTTGTGTAGGGTATCGTATGGTCGGCCCCATCTGACTATACTGCTCCGCTCACTGTTTTTAAGATTATGTCGCATTACCGCGTTGGATACTATATTTGTTTTAAAAATACAATGGTTAACGTTTAGATAAAAGCGTATTCAATTCAGTAAGATATAACGACATAACGGGTATAACGGCAACAACCAAAAGACCCGATAGAAATTCTGTCCTTAATATTATTTCGTTGATATATCGACATATCGCTTATTGCGACCAATTTACGTGTTTCCTTAACCGTCATTATAATTATATAGTTCATAGAATTGAATAATATCGTCTTTTAGGGACTGTTTGTAATATTTTTGTTGTGGTAGCACATCTATACATATTTGTTGTGTTTTCATTTCGATCCGACTCCTCCTGTTTCAAGATTCAAAAGGAATATAATCTGAATCGTCTCCAACTAAAGATCTGTTGGAGTCAAATGAGCAACATATCCTATGGTTCAAGTCTACATATAGTATGGTATTTGATTGTCAATTTGGGCCCGATACGAATTGAGACGGCTGCAGAGTCCTGATCTTAATTGGACTAATGTCGTTTGTTTAGGCATCTCTCTGCATTCCCGTGGTATTGGTCTATAGCCTGGGTCACTGTTTTCTTAAGAATTCCAAGAATAAGAATTCTAATAATAATAATAAAAAATGCATAGATACTTGTGTCACAGTCCTCGGGACTGCATTCTGACAGGTAAGATATGCGTACCGCTCTGTCATCAAGCCAGAAGCTGTGGCGACTTGAGGTCTTATTCCTGACATGTGAGGTCGTCTCCCCGTCACGTTTTCGAAAATTTATTTTATTTAATATGAACCTATACCTTCTTAAGACCGTTTCCTTAAAATTTCAAGTGAAAATCTCAACTACTCTGAAGATCTAGTCAATACACTTTTGGGTAGTTTGTGATCGAAATTTCCTTTGTCTATTTGGTGAATATTGGGCATGTGTATATCTTCATAAGCCTACAATCATCCTCATACATCTCAATGCCGGCAGGTGGTTGTGGAATTTCAGAAAGGCAGAGGTTCTGAAGATTTGAACACAAGTCACACACCTTCGCTTCTAGTGATATTCTTCCGAAACACGTTGCAACAATCGCTATATTACAAGTTTCTGGGATTTATTCCGTATCCCATCATACTTCACTTACAAAAACGAAGTTACACGGTAAAATGTTGTTTTTCAAAACCAAAGCCGGGTGTCCTTTCCGTCGCGGACCAAAAGGGTTCGGGCAAGACATCCCTCTCCTAGATTTAAATAGTACGGCACTGACATGTAGGAGTTGGGGTGGCAGCCCCTAGTCCAAATAAATCATTTTCATTGTTGATTAGTGTTGAAACCTTTCTGCATTTACACAATAAGCTAATGTTATAGTCGTATGTTGTGTTAGTGAAGGGCAGGTAGGGCATAGCTACCTGAAATATTTGTAATGATATTTCAAATACAATTTAAATGAAAACCATTCCACAGCATTCGTCTGGAAGAAATTACTATGTAATGGATAAAACAAACATTTCGTGGCAATACCTACTCGATTTTGGAAATAAATCATAACATGTCATACATTTTCGCATTTTTTATTGAGTATTGGAAAATTGCAAATAATTTTGCGTATATTTATTTTACGAGGGCAGTTCGGAAAGTTCTTAGCTTAGCAGAAAAAGCGCGGTATAAACAAAAAAAATTAAGTGTATTGGAAACTTCCATCTCTGTTATGAACACAGAGACACATTTTGTTTCGATCTGGCAACTCCTTCATAAAGAAACTGGTGTTCAAAAAAGACACATCCGCATTTTTTTACAATGAAATCCCGCATTTCTAATGTTTCCATTGTAAAAAATTGCGGATGCATCTTTATTGAACACCTGTTTTTATATAAAGGAGTTGTCAGATCGAAAATGTTGTTTCGATCTGGCAACAATTTTGAACTGATTTAAGCACTCGAAAGTTGCTCAAAGTTTGCGGCATGTGATGAAGTATGCTACAGTAGCTTTATGATCAATTCATTGCCAGTTTAGAATCTTGGATTACGACAGGTACTAGATTACCAAAATTGTATCATTATTTTATTTGCACAGTGTCGAATGTTTTTAGAAATCGACATTTTATAAAACAATTTTTGTATAAATAATAAACAAAACGTTTGTCATAAATTTTTTTTAATTCCACGTAATGTCTATATTAGAACCTACGAAGGTATACATATATTTATTTATTAATAGTAATTTCAATGTCCCATGATCGCATCATTCAATTAACCATATAAAATGTATTTATTTATAATAAATGTAACAATTCTACAACATGAATAAGAAAAAAAATTTGCCCCATCTTAATAATAGAGGTTCTAAAATCGAAGCCACAACATCATCATTTGAACCAAATGACACAATATAACAATAAAAAGTTATTAGTTGTTATTTTTGAACTGTATGCTTAGTGTTATCATTGTACGTAAGGAATTTCACTTGTTATCAAAAAAAAAAAAAAAAAAAAACTTATTGACAAGTAATAATTTGGGATTTATCAAATTTTGTTTATTGTTGTGGAATGTTTTGGATGAATAACACAGTGAAAATAATATTATTGTAGTTCGGTAGATATATTGATGAAATCAAAAAGTCCTGTATTCAATACATTTTCACTAATATCCAATCTGTGAAGTTTATCAGTTTGTAAATATATTTGTATTATTCATGAGAAAAGAGATGTAGTTGTTATTGTCATAATGTCACATAACCGCCAAAACCACAAATCTAACGCTATAAATGTTGACAGTGAGTTGTTTTCTTCAAACCGCAAAGATTTTGTCAGTAATATAGATCTGTGTGTAATGTGGATAATAAAAAAACAACAACAAAAATTTCCCATTAGACAAGTACAAATAATAGGCTGAATTTTAGAACAATTAAAAATGAACACCCTAATTCACCCTAATTATATGAAAAAAAAAACTTGAAAAGGTCTTTCAGGTGGTCCACGATGGAATATATTTTTTGTCCACGACAAGACATATGATTGCCTGTCTACATCTGATATTTTCATTGGAAAGTTGAACATGTTTTAGCATCTACGTACCCAGTACGTACGACCATGTGTTGTGTTGGTCTACGATCAAATATATTACGACGCTTAGGCAACATTGTCTTAAACTGTTGCATCTGATATTTGACATCTGCCGCAATCTGATATTTTTTAGCAGAAACATACTCCGTATGGTGTGACGTACCACCATGTGTTGTGTTAACTCGTAAACATTTCCATACGTTAAAATCCACGAGTATAACGGCAAAATACTGTAGCCAAAGTTGACATTATTCGAAAATAGATTGCCTAATGTTGTTATATACCCAAGCTAGTAATCTAAAAATCCCATTATTTTTAATGGTTATTTTTACACATATTATGATCAGCACATGCCACTGTTTTAAAATTAACTCCCTTTTTATCTATAAAATACTTAAGGAAATGGAAATTTTCTTTTACTTTCGACAGAACAAAAAAAAAAAAAAAAAAAACAATAAAACTAATTTGATGTGCTCCTCTATTTTACGCCCTCCTCCCTCTCTCTTCCTCCCCCATTATTCTGAAACAATTGGTTATGTCTTTTATTACATGTCTTCCATTCCATGTGTTAAGCCTACTACTTATTTGAATAGATAAGTTTCAATAAATCACATTAACAGGAATTACATAAAGCAAGAGCAACGACAAAAAACATACAAACTTCCTCCCCGCCAACCCAATCTGTTCTCGGTATGGATATGAATGCAACGGCACGACTTTACACCAACCCAGCAAGCATTTAGACAGACAGTTGGCATTTAAATCAGCAGTGGCTGGCTGACTGACTGGATGGCTATAAACGACGACAATGTCCAAACGTGAACACAAACAAACAATCACACACACAGCATACAGTTGGCTAACTAACTGAACTCATGAATGCTTTTATTCGTCCGTCCATTCATCCATTTAATCCAACCACCACCCTTTATTCTACCTATAAAGAATACAAAAGAACAAGCTGAAAAAGTTGACCATATCAAGCGGCAAAAATTTATCTATTTTTTTCCTTTATGTTTAATTTCAGAGTTCCAGCAACAGAAAGAATAGCATAGCAGCAAACAACGACGACGAGAACAGGCCACCACAAGAATGAGAAAATAAAAACAAAACTAAAAAAGTGGCAAAGCAAGCATTAAGAATCAGCCAGCAGACGGTTGGACTTATTCAACAGTCAGCCAAGCAGTCAACTATCGCAGCAGCGCCTGGCAGGCAGGCAATCAACACCAATAAACAAAAAACCAAAACCAGGAGCGTTTAGTGTAACTGAAACTTACAAGAAGAAATAAAACGAAGGAAGACAAAGAACAACACGAAGCATTTAAACAAAGCAGCGAGGTAAAGCAAAGCGAAAAAGTGCCCACAAAAGATCATCAACCACATCAGCAACAGCAGCCACAAACATGGACGAAAACGAACAAGAATTAAAAAGTCCCATGAAACGAGTTGGATCCACCCGCAAGGTGTTTCTATTCAATAACATACGACAGCAATTAAACGAACACTTACGATGCCTAGATGGTCGTGTCGAATCCCAAGTATCCCTAATACAAGAGCTGCAAGATCTCTTTCGACGAAGGGGTGAACTGGAACTGGAATACAGTAAAAATTTAGATAAGTTAGTGCGTAGCCTACAGGCGCGACACAAGGAACAGAAACAAAAACGCGAACAGTGGCATATATTTTCGGCATTTGCCTCATGGTCCCACCTATTGGAACAGACACAGTCGCTGAGCAAAGATCATGCCACCTTGTCCGAATTGTATTCGGTAAATATTGTGTCGTCGCTACAGACCACCATAGAGGATGTCCAAAGGATATATAAGAAATGTCGTTCCATTGGGTACGATATACACGAAGAAATCCTACGGGTGTTGGAAGAGTTATATGCCACAATGAAAACATACCAGAAATACGAAGCCGAGTGGAAGGCGGCCGAGGTCAAGCTGATGACAGCCGAAGCCCAGCAACAAAAATTGGAACAGACCATACAAAAGGAGAAGCTGCGCAGCAGTAAAAAATACCGCATGATCGAAAAGGAGATACTCAAACGCCGTACCAAATACTCAGATGCTCGCATGAAGGCGTTGAAGGCTAAAAACGAATATCAGCTGTGTTTGGAATCATCGAATACCACCATACATAAATATTTCATCGACGATCTGAGCGATCTTATCGACTGCATGGATTTGGGTTTCAGTTCGATGATATCGCGTTGCCTGGTCATGCATGTCACCGCCGATCAGGGACGAGCCCGTGCCATTTTGAGCCAGGCCGATAATCTAGCTCATGTCATACACCTAATCGATAGCCAGCAGGACAAACAGAAATTCATGGAACAGTATCATGCAGCGTTTATGATACCCAAACGTTTCGAATTCCAGGGACAATTCAGCAATGACTTGCTGGAGCAAAGTGTCCAGAAGGAGTTGTATGTCGATATGGAGACCCGTCTGCAAGTGATTGGCCAAAGGCTGAATTCGCTGCGCACGGAGTCCGAGGAGATTTGGAAGACTTTGGAAACGGCCGAGGTCAAGTTGCTGGAGCATTTCAACAGCAAGGACTGTGATGTTAGCCCTGCCTTTGTGGAGCATAATAAGAGCCTTTTACAAAAGGGCGGTCCCTCGATGGCCTTCAATCCCAAACTGAAGGCCGAGAAGGAGGAAGTCGAAGACTTCTATATAAATAAGATACGTGAATATATACGTGGTACATCGCGCATAGCGCGTCTAGATGCTAAGGCCAAGTATCTGAGGGAGATGCTGATTACGGACAATAATGCCGCATTCACCAGGGAAATCCTCGATCACCCCATCAACAGTAAACGCAAGAGAATAGGTCGCAAAAACCAATCGGGAAGACCCAAGCTATTTGGCGGTTCCCTCGAGGAGTACTTGGAAAACACTGGAGAAGAGATACCATTAATTTTAAGAAGTTGTATACGTGTCATAAATCTGTATGGTTTACACCACCAGGGCATATTCCGTGTGTCGGGTTCTCAGGTGGAAATCACCAACTTCAGAGAAGCCTTTGAACGCGGTGAGGATCCGTTGGCCGATACCACAGATGCTTCCGATATTAATTCAGTGGCTGGTGTTTTGAAACTCTATCTGAGAGAACTGAGGGTGCCACTCTTTCCGAAATTCTATTTTGAGAGTTTCATTTCCATAGCGGAAATGCAGACCAAAGCCGAAATGGTCAAAGGAATCAGACAGTTCTTGCAAAATCTGCCCAACTCGGTGGTCATTGTCATCCGCTATCTGTTCTCCTTTCTCAACCATCTCTCCGAGTATGCCGACGAGAATATGATGGACGCGTATAATTTGGCCATTTGCTTCGGACCCACCCTGATGCCAGCTCCCGAGGACAAGGACCAGGTGCAGTATCAGAATCAAGTAAACGAACTAATCAAAAATATGATTATCTATCACGAGGAACTGTTCCCCAAGGAGTTGGGCGGATGCGAATACGAGAAATACATTTCCCCACATACGCTCGATATGGACGTGGGTGATTCACCTTCCGAGGTGTTGACCGAAGATCCCGAATCAGATGCCTATCCCTCCGAAGATGAGTCTGAAGTTCTGGAAGCTGTGGCCCAGTTTGATTTCAATGCACGCTCCAGCCGGGAGCTGTCGCTGACAAAAGGTGATTGTATTATTTTGCGCAAACAGGTGTCGAACGACTGGTGGCAGGGCACGGTAAATGGCAAAGAGGGCCTAGTGCCCGACAAATACATATCGCTCAAACTCAAAGATGAAGTTCGTCTGCCCGCACAAAATTCACAATCTATGGAACATTTGTACTTAGAGAATTCATGCTCTTCATCAACTTCAATGTTAGTAGACAATAAAGATATCGCAAAGTATGTTGTCAATGATGTTTATTTTAACCACGCTGGTGGCGGTGGTGGTGGCAGTGTTAGTGGTAACTCAGCCTTTAATAACACCTCTGGTGCCGCAGCGACTGCTACTGCATCGGCGCCTGCTTCGATCAGTGTGCTGGGTGGCAGTAGTAGTTGCCTGGGTCTGGGTTTGGCCCCCCATAACAATGGCAACGGTACAGCGGGTGCTATTTATGCTGTGCCGCATCAACGCAAAACCAGTACTGGCAGTGGCAATGGATCGCTCGGAGGTGCTAGTACTAGTGGTGGTGGTGGTATTGGCTTTGGCTCATCATCCAATGCTTCTGGCGATTCCTCATCCTATTCGTGTACAGATGGTAATGCTTATGCTGTCACCAGCGAAGTTCATTTATTTAAGCACTTTGCCTCCTCCCCCTCACCCCATTCTAATGCCACCAATACTAACACGTCTTCTACTACTACTCCCACGGCTATCACCTCTACAACTCCTCCCCCTCTACCCACTAGTGGTCCTAATTTTACATCAACGCCTCCACCAATTAACCACTCATCATTAATGAAGCTATTGAAGAATCACAGCAAACAATATCACGATGAGCCACATTCCTTTGAGAATGCCATCGAATTTCAAAACGCTTATGATGAACAGGTGGAAAAATTCGAAACGACTGTATAGAGATAAGTTAATGCGGCGCACAAAGAGCGCAAGCGCACATACACAGGCTAAAAACGCACATACACACACACGCAGCAAATGCACAGACACACACAACACAAATGATTATATAAATTGTGAGTACCCGACAAAAAACAAAAAAAAAAAACTACTACAATACCGCATACGTGAAGTGTCAGTCAGACAGACGCACAAAATACACCACACTCAGTCACAAGAAATCAAGTAGAAGAAGTATAATAAAAAGAGAATAAGGAAAAGAATGAAGAAAAATATAAGGAATTGGCTCAAAATGTCCTATATTGTAAGTTTAGCCATGTAGTAGTAGCAACAGGTTAACTCAAGAAGCAAGGATCTCAAAACACAAAAAAGGAAATCCTTTCCGGTTTTTGGTTTTTTATTTCGTGGATAGAAGAATAATGAATGTTATTGTGATGCTGCGTCGTTCGTTAGCTCTTTCTGTTTAGTATTTCATTGCTCTCTACACAGGATTTGAGTGAAATTGCAAGCTAAATTTGTTTTAAAAACATTAGCGCTCCGATTCGAAAAATGAAAAGAAATCTCAAAATTATTTGTAGATAGTTTATTTTCTCCCCCAAGTAGCACTAGTTGTAGAGTGAGTCATATTGTGTTTTCATAATTATTTTTTTTAAATTAAAATAAAAACTATAACTATTTTGTTTTTAACAATTTTAACATGGAACAAACGATTCTGAATTGTGTCCCAGTAAAATAAATATATTTTTAAGTATCGAATAAATTATGTATAAATTATAATAAAAAAGAAAGCAAACAAATTCAAATTTTAAAACATTAAAAACCAAACACAATGTCTGTTATTCTATTCGAAATATGACGAAATTTTCTGTTGGCAAATTTTTAATTTTTTTTTTGAAAATTGTTGACGAAAATGATTTTTTTTCTAAAAAATTAAATTATAAATTGATTTATTATTTATTTTGCTAGCTTTTTTGTGATTTACAACGTTTTATTTAAAAAATAATAAATATTTATTTTAATATGAAATTATGAAATATACTAAATATGTATGTATTTATTTGGTAAAATAATTTATTTTATTTTTTCAATATTTATTGGTTTATATATCCATATATTTGATTTAGGTTGATCAAGGTTGTTGTACCCATTGTGGACAAGGCATAATGTGATTTGGGACAGGTTAACATCATGCCGGGTTATCATAATCTTCTTAAAGAAAAATTCACGCCCGTTATCAAAAACTTCTTGAAGAAACGTTCAAAAGTTCATAGAATAGTAAATGAGCTCCTTGTCAGTGTTTGACGGATCAACTTGTTTCCGAATCCTATGTTCCACTTGTGGTTACTTGATGCATAATTTTGTTAATGGATTTAGGAAGACAAATATGTATTGCATTGTCTTCCCGGTGCATGTAGTTTTTTGCTTGCTATGGGTTGGATTCCTTTATATAGTTTTCTATTTCATACCCGAGTGTCGCTTATTACAACTGGTATATATCCCTAGAACAATTTTAGATTTGAAATCTGTTGGAATTTTAGGTTTTTGGTAATATTAAGAACCATATCTATTGGGCTGTTTCCAAATGTCAGTTTTTTTGTTGTGAATTTGTGAATTCGGCATTTTCAGATGTTCTACCACGTATTTCAAACAAATTGTTTGTACTTTAGTGGTTTGGATCCTCAAAAAAACGAAAAAATTATCGATATTGACTCATTTTTCGGGGTAGACCCATATAACGGTAGTCTTAATATTCGTTATTCTAGGAATTTTTTAATCGATTTGACACTAATTTGGTTTTGCTTGGGTTCACATCATTCCAAACGTTTTAAGGTGTTTGGTATTCGGAATATATAATCTTCAGTTAAAATAATCTGAAATTGAGTTCGAATTATGTATTTCAAATTTCTAGTTCTATTTCAAATCATTTTAGAGTGAAATACGCGGTTTTCGGTATGGCGAAGATGTACAGCAGCGCGTTCTAACCATGGGTTCTAGCAAATAACTACATTAATTTAACCTCGCGAGTATCCACTTTCTAATATCGAATCTAGATTTATTTTTGGTTCTAGGCTCATTTCAGTATGTGGTTAGGTTGAAAACTTCTTCAGAAATATATGTGATACAAAGTCATGGTAAGGGGTATCCAAATTTCATAGTAGTATATGTGCTGTTTCTGTAACCGATCTTGACTCTATGGGCTATGTTGAAACTTAATGTCCTTTCTTGTGCATATCACTCGTTTATTATTTTTACTTTTGCATTTTTATTAAATTTTTATGGAAAATAATTTAAAATAAACAAATTTCTAACAAATCATTGTTGGCATCATTTGGTATACGTTTGTTCCAATGAAAATATTACTTCATAAAAATAAAAAAAATATGTTGAAAAATTCAAACTTTTTATTGGAAATATGATCTCTCTCTGCACAACGGTGATCATTTATATATGTATAGAAAGAAATAAACAAAAAAGGTTTATACATAATTATGTGTCGCATGTTTATTAACATAGTATATATACCAATTAATAATATAAATAGTAAACAAGTCCTCCTATATTTTTTCTATTTTATCTAAGAAATTTGTCTTAATGTATTTATTATGGAAAACAAGTTTATAGAAAATGCTCAATTCAAATAATAATTAACAATAGCATTATATAAACATTCGCATCATTCTCTCATTGAAACATAAATGCCATTCAATTTATTTTGTATAAAAAGAATTTTCGAATTTTCATTATGCATCCCATTAAAACAAAGAACACATCTTACAGAATTTTTACAACATTCACTCATTCATTCATTCTTCCAGTATTTATAAAACTTCACTTAAAAACATCCAACAAAACACGAAAAGAGAAAAATCCAAACGAAATATATTTTCGACAAAAATTTAAAGAAAAGCTAAAATTAAAAAAATAACAATTTAATCAAACTAACAAATTATAAAACTAAACAGAATATATATATTCATACATATTTTTCTACTAAAATGCATACAACAGCAACAACAAGAACTACTATAAAATATTTACACTTTATACTAAACAAAAAAACATACAAAAAAATAAATATATATTAAAAAAAAATATTAACTAACAATACATGCAAGAAAAATAAAAATTACTACAACAACAAAATCAAAATATTCAAAATCAGTTGAAAAGAAAAAACAAACATAAAGAAAAAAATATTACAAAATGCAATTTGCCATAATTATTTATTACAAAATACATACATAAATGTGAATAGTAGAGTTGTACAATTAGTTATTTAAATAAGTAATTGTTTTATAAATTTCAACATTTGTAATATTTGATAAGATTAAATATAATAGATTAATATTTGAAGCATTTGACCATGTTATAAATTGAAAAATTTCAAGCCATGCTAGAAATTTTGCACAAAAGGTGTATTAGTGATCATTATGCCTAATCGTCACTCCTTTAATATTGAAAGTCACTCCTTTGGTACCAAACATTTTTTTAAAATTTACTTTTTTTATTTTTTCTGCTACTTAAGATTTTGTTTTTTTTCCTGAAAACATCCGAACCGACAACATGGTTTCATGTCAATGTAAGCCAAGTTCTGAACGATATTTAGTGCATGATAAACAGGAAGGCCGCTTATTTTATATTGTTTCGCGAAAAATAACTTCTTTTCGTATCATATCTTTCAAAAAGGCAAGATTTTACGTTTTTGTGAAGGTCATTATAATTTTTAAACACCATACAGGCCACAATTATGGACCAATCTTCACAAAATTTTGTATGTAGGACCGGTTCTGGCCAATGAAGACCCCTCTTGTTTTTTGTAAAGATGGTTTAATATTTAGGGGTTGAAATGGATTAAATACTTAATTTTTGTTGGTTTTTCCGGTCCGCAATAATGGCCCGGAGTTTTGTGTGAAAATGATGGTGTCTACGTATCATGACATGATTACCATTAACAGACTAGAAGGTGAACGTGTCGAACGTGTGAAATTTTAAAGGAAGATTCCGGTCAAGGACGACACCTAAAAATTTCGGTGGTGATTAGGTGATATTTAGGGAATGGAATGGCCCTAAAGCCGTTTTATTGTAGGGTTTCTAGTCGCTTTAGACGCCTCTAATGTAAACCGAAAATCACAAATTTTAAGGGATCTGGCCAACTGTTTACAATTGCTGGCTTAAAAAGGGTCGGCCAATATTTAGAAGGTCAGCGAAACCAATCGTATGGAAAATATGCCAGGGTAAGAAAGAGGAGCTGTTGACCTCTAAACGATTAAGACGATGCAAATATCGCGAATTATAGTTCAGCCCCGTCCGATGGTTTTAATCTAAATTTCACTGGTTTTAATCTAAATTTCAATAATTTGTCACTTATATCCCTCCGAAGATAGAAAAGCTTCTGACAGGGAATGTGTAATGAAGGTTTAGAAAAAGTATTTATTAAAAATATAATATACCTTTTTCTGAAGTTTTCACTATAACGATTTTTCGATTTAACGATGGGTCCTTGTACTGTACTACATTTTTTCATTTAATTTTCATATTTAATTTATTATTATATTTGCACAACTCTACTATATTACACTAATGTTGGTCCTCATAATAAACACATAGGCCATACTACATTGAGCCAAGCTGTATTAATGAAAGATAACAAATTAATAATGATATTTTTTGTAATTATTAGTTTTAATGTATTTATGTTTTTATGTCCAAAATAAAATAACAAACTAATTTTATATATTTAGTTTAATGAAAAGAAAATGTATTTTATTTTAACAAATTATTAAATTTTTATGAATCCTCCCTCTCTCTCATCAGCCATTATAATGTCATATATATATATTTTTTTAACATTTATTTCCATGTAACATTCGTAATAATTTCATCACTATTATATAAGGCATTGTTAAATTTTTTTTAACAAATACTCTTACATACTTATATATAAAATATATAATAATTTTTTTTTGAATAAGCCATTTGTAAATTTCATTTTTTAACATAAAGTTATGATTTTGATTTATTAAGTTTATTAGTTAGTGAGCCCTTATTAGGACTCTTTCAACTA